CCTGCGCTGCCAGCCCGGGCCCCAGCTGCGGGCCGGCCGCGGCGCTCCCGGTTCCTGGAAGCCTGGCCGGATCCGTCTCTGCCTCCGGCTGCTCCCGGACTCCTCCCTGGGCCAACAGAGGTGGCGAGCAGCTGTGCCGGGAGTGTGCGGGTAGCTCCAGAAGGGCCAGGGTGCAGGGATGGGACTGAGGATGCACAGGATAGTGGTGGCAGAGCAGGGACACACATGGGAAATTCCCTGGATGTCTTGGTGTGAAGGAGCAGCAGCCACCCCAGCTTCACTGGCTGCATCCCTGTGACTCCCTGGGAATGCAGCAAGCGTCCAAACTGCATCCCTGTAGATGCCCGGGGATGCACCGAGCATCAGAACTGCATCCCTGTGGCTCCTGGGGATGCAGTGAGCATCCGAACTGCATCCCTGTGAATCTCTGGGATGCAGTGAGCATCCAAACCACAACCCTGTGACTCTCCAGGGATGCAGCAAGTACCTATGCCAGGCTGTGCCGCATCCTTCCCTCCCCATCAGTGCAAAGCTGGATTTCCCATGGGATTTTTCCAGGTAGAGCCCTGGCCTGGGTCTCTCCAGCAGCCGGGTATCCAGAGCCCCACCAGGGCACACGCTGCCGGAGTGCCCGGTACCTCGGGAACAGGGAAAACTGCTTGTTTTGGCACCAGAAAGCTGCATCTGGGGGAAAAGCTGGAGCAGGGCGATTATCCGCATGGCACGCGGCTCCGGATAATGGGGCACCCCAGACACCTCGTTGATGCTGAAGCCCCGGGAAAAGCCCGGAGGGATTTCCTGGGTGCCCTCCTCGCCCCCGCTATCCGCAGCCGCGTTCCCGCGTGCTGCCGGGCTCTTTCCCAGGCTCGCGGGGTCAGCGGCCTCCCGCGCTCCCAGCCGGAGCAATGCCAGGAATGCACCTGGGAAGAGGCCGGGCTCTGCGGGCCGGGATGGGATGGGGGAAGCGGGAAGCTGGGTGCCCTCTCCCTTATCCCACCTGGCAAAGGGCTCCTTGCTCGCGGGATGCTGGGCACAGCTCGGAGCGATGCCTTTCCAGGTGGAATAAGCCCATTCCCAGCCTTCCAGTGCCAAACTGGGGCCAGTCCGGGGCAAAGTGCGTTTCCTCCCTGGGAGGGAAGCGGCTGCCCCAGCATCACCCCTCCTCCTGGAGCCCCCAGCTCAGCGCAGCCTCCATGGAGAAGCCGCTTTTCCCGGGGACCCCGTGCCGGGATGGGGAGAGCAGATTTCCAGCCCAGGGGGGCCCGGCCACCTCCGCGGCCTCCAGGCGAGCTTGGACCCCCCTCTCCCTCCATTCCCGCGCGAGGCCCCCCCTGGAGCGGAGGAAATTCCTGGGCCCTGACGTGATGTGAAACGCGAGCGCCGTGGCCCCCTCGCCTGCTCCGCTCGCTCCGGGCCTTTTCCCAACCCAGGTTTCCCCAGAGCATCTCCCCCCTTCCCTTTCCCCGGCCTCTCCCCCCCCCCTTTTCTTTTTTTTCTCTCCTTTTTTCCCTTTTTTCCCCCGCTCCGCTTTCGCCGCTGTAACCCGAGAGGCTGGAAATGCAGCTCCTTTCATCTTCCATTTCCCACATCCTGAGAGTCTGGGGAGCCGGAGCCCACCCGGCTGCAGGAATCCCAAGCACGCGGCTCCCCCTCGCCGCCGGCCGCCCCCCGCGCGCTTCCATTCACAAAGCGGATTAGGCACGCCGCCGCCGCCGCCAAAATCCCTCCAAAACCCTCAGCACTGCCATATATTTTTTTAAAAAATCCCTGCATCCCGCGGGAGCAGGTGGGAAGCGGGTGCTGATGTAGCCGAAGGGGGGTCCAGGGTGCCCCCCGCCCCAGGAAGGTCCTTCTCGCGTCTCCCGTTGTTGCTAATTCGGGATGCGGGTGGATTGGGAGCCACTCCAGGCTCTTGGCGGGGTGTCCCCTTGGAGAGGGGGATTCTCGGGGGCAGGTACGAGGTTGGGCAGCGGCGCGTGGGGCTTCCCAAGTGACTCTCGATTCCTGGGAATCAGGGGGGCTGCCAAGGCAGCCGCGCGAAATACATTCCCTGTCAGCGCAGGGAATTGCGTCCCATCACAGGCACAGAAAAGGGAAAAGAAATAAAAAGTAAATTATAATAAAAAAGTAAACTGCAAAAATACCCACAACCTTTATCCGTGTGGAAATGGGCTGGGAAGGAGGTTGTTCCTCCAGACAAGTCGGCAGAAAGACAGGGTTGGTTTGAGGTAATTTTCAATGTGGGATGCACACTAAGGCCCGGCAAAGCCAAGGTGCAGGCGGAGATTTGGGGTGAAAAAGTGTCTTTGGGCCCCCCAGTTCGGGGAACGGAGGGGGTTTGGCCACATCCGCATCTGCACATCCGTGATTTAGCCCCAAAGCATCCCGGGTTGCAAGACGGCACCGCTGCTGCCTCGGAATAGCAGCTCGGTTGGCATGAGGAGGAGGAGGAGGAGGAAGAGGGATGCTCTGGATGGCACTTTGGAAAAGGTGAGAGGGTGGAAGGCAGCCCCTAGGAAAACTCTGACGCTTCCCAGGCAGGTTTTGTTTGTAAATAAAGAGCCTCCGTTTCCAGGGCAGCCCCGATGGGCACCTATCATCATCACCATCATCATCATCACCACCATCGCCACCATCATCATCCAGGAATTCGCTAATGAGTTTTGGGGCCAGGTGCTGAGTCACCTCGCCCCAGTGCGGAGCGTTGTCTCACCTACACCCGCGGCCTCCGACCTGCCCGGCAATAACTCCGGAGAAAGGCATCCGCCTGCCTTCCTCCTCCTCCGCCCCGGGCCTGCATCACCCCGAATAATAATAACAAAAACAAGAAGGAAAAGGGAAACGAGCTGCCGCGTCTTTTCCCAAAACGAAAATGTGGAAAGCAAGTGTGGGGATTGGGGGAAAAAGAGGGGGTTTGAGCCCCCTGCAGAGCATCCGCTTTCCCGCAACACCCGGGAAAGCACCGGTTGTGCTCAACACGGAGCAGCCGCGTTGTCGGCTTGCTTTTTTTGGTTGTTTTTTTTGAAAAAATACTAAAAGGGCCTGGCGTTCCCCAGCGTTTCCAGTAAAACCCATCCAATTTGAGCCATTCATCCCACAAGAATGTGCGGGATGCTGGGAAGTCCTCGGGCTCGCGCCGGCACAGGAGCCCAGATGGGCTTCGTCCGTAATCGTTTCCCTCCCAGTGGCTGGAGCTCTTCGCTCTGGATGCTAATAGCGTGAGTAATCAGAAACCGACATCCCGTAAATTATTTATCTTATCTCTGGAACTCAGCAAGGCATTTTAGCCAGCGACTTCTGTGGAAAAGGGGAGAATAATAATAATAAATTTAAAAGGAAAGGCTGTGAGTCAAGAACGCCCAGCTGGAATCTCCGCTTTTACTAGAAAAGGGAAAAGTTCAGGCTCTGCTTTGCCTGTGGGTACCACGGAGCCGGCGCAAGGAGAGATGAAGTTATGGAAAAGGGGCCAGGGCCGGCGCTGCCGAACACGCGCCCGGTGCCGATGCCACCCTCGGGGCCGGTTCCCGGGGAGCGGT